TGGACACCCAGGGCTGGGGAAACATCTCCTCCCCCAGCCCCTGTCAGCCCCTGGGGGGTTTAACTGCAGCTTGGAGAGCCCCAGGGAGCTTTCCTGGGCAGAGGTGGGGGGACAAAGGAGTATCCTCTTCTCCCCATTGCCAGGCAGGCAGCATCTGACAGCTGTAGGACTCTCCACCCACATCCTAGAGCATCCAGTCTCTTACCTTATCAAAGCTGGTGTAATGCTCCTGGACAATTTTTTGCACAAAGATGTTAAAACGCCTGTTGATGTCCTTAAAGAGCTCCATGGTGTGGCTGGGAAGGTACTGGAGCACGGGGATGAAGTCAGCAGGGTTGCCAGAGGCAGCCACGTCCCCAAAATCGTTGTTGAGGTCCACTATGTTGAGCAGCTCTTGGTTGCTGTGGTCGTAATGCTTGCCAAAGCAGATGGCGCAGATGACATTGGCCACAGAGACCACCAGGTACTGGTTCAGGTCAAAGCTCTTCTCCTGCTCCATCAGCTGCAGGAGCTTGGTGACCAGGTAGTCAGCCTCCTTGGAGACGTGCTCCTCCAGGAGGCAGGTGGAGGGGGAGGTGGGGCTGGGGGTGACGGAGAAGGCATTCAGGGCATTCTGGGCCAGCCTTCTGCGGGCTTTCCACACCTCCCCCGAGTCGGTGCCGAAGGCCAGGCTCTGGCCGTTCGAGATGTACTGGAAGCTGTAGAGGTCGGGGCGCCCTATGAAGTCTTCTCCTTGCTTCACCAGCGCTTGCTTGATGGTCTCCAGCCCGCTCAGCACCAGGACGGGCCGGGTGCCGATTCTGATCCCCATCACGTCCCCATACTTCTGGCTCAGCCTGGTCAGGACCAGGTGCGGGTCCTTCCTCAGCTCCAGCACGTTGCCGAGGATGGGGTAGCCTCTGGGTCCAGGGGGGCTCTTCAGCCCCTCGGGCACGCGCTGCCGGAGGCACTGGATGAGCAGGAAGACCAGGCAGAAGGCGGCAGCCGCGAGGAGGACCTCAGTGGCCGAGACGATGCCTTGGCTTCCCAGCAGCGACATCGCAGCCTTCATCGCTGCCAGCATCCAGCAACCTTGGTAATAAACCAAAGAGGTATTATGGAACCACAGAACGGTTTTGGGTTGGAAAGGACCTTGAACATCACCCAGCTCCATTACGAAGGAGGGAAGGTCCATGGAGCACCTCCAGTTTGAGATGCTCCTAGTACCAACTGCAGGCAGGAAAGCTGGGTGTCACTTCCAATCTGCAGCTGCCGTTAGGAAACCGCTTGGACTTAAAAGTGGGGGTTTTTTGCTAGCCAGGAGGGAAAGGAAGAGGTCCCACAGCTCCTTCTCTGCATGCCAGGGGTAGCAAACGTGCTCTCTCAGCTACAGGACCTGTCTTTTCCACCGCAAAGTCTTTTCCAGAACGCTTGACCCTAGGAGAGCCGAATCCCCCCAATTTGAGTCCTCCAGCGGCTCACACCGAGCCGCTGCCCACCCGCAAGCCAAAGACAGCATTGCCATGGATCTTCCCCAAAATCGACGGCCAAAGCAGCTCAGCGTGACCCCCTCAGCTCTGTCCAAAATCCCTCGGGAAACCCCGAGCCAGGGGCAGGGAGAGGCTGGGTGCGAACCCCCCACCCCCTTCCCCTCGGGGCTGCACCCCGCTGTGGGACATCCACAGGGCGAGGAGCCCTGCACCCCACCGGCTGCACCCCGGCTGGGACCCCCTCCCAGCGAGAGGGGCCTCGAGGAAAGGGTTACCCCCAGGACTCCCCCAGAAACCCCCTCCCGGGGGCTCAGGGAAGGATGCTGCGGGGGGTTTGGGGAGCCGGAGAGCGGAGGGGACACCCCGCAGCGGGGGGCCCCCCCGGCTTTTCCCCCCCTCGGGG